TGTAAATAGAAATTGCATATAGCATGGGCCACCGCTATAGCTCAACTAGTTGAGCTGGCGACCCATGTACAGGGGCTGTAATCCCTGATGCAGCGACCATGGGTTTGAATCCTGCTTGTGGCCCTTTGCTGCAAGTCCTTCCCCCATTCTTCTCCCCCACTTTCCTGTCTCTCTCTTCACTGTCCTGACCCGGGATCTTTCTGCGTGGAGTTTGCATGTTCTCCCCGTGCAGCGTGGGTTCTCTCCGGGTTCTCCGACTTCCTCCCACACAGTCCAAATTGTCCGTAGGTGTGAATGTGAGTGTGCTTGGTTGTCTGTCTCTAAGTGTAGCCCTGCAATAGACTGTCGACCTGTCCAGGGTGTCCCCTGCCTTCGCCCTAAGTCAGCTGGGATAGACTCCAGCCCCCCGTGACCCTAGTAAGGATGAAGCGGTGTATAGATAATGGATGGATGGATGGATGGATGGATGGATGGATGGTTGTAGCAACCCCACAACAAAGTGGAATCAAGGCTTTTATCTAGCTTGTAGCTCTATGTTTCCTCCACTAGAGAGCAGCACAGATCCACACAGAGAGCCACTGCCTCCTTGTGTATGAGGAGGACTGCTGAGAGGATACACAAACTGTATGTTAAAATGAGTTGCAACAGGATTTTATATTTTACACACAGCTGAGGTATTGTTGGTGCAGGTCTGTGAGGAAGATGACCTGACCTTCTACACAAACAGTGTTGTTAATGTTTACAGTATAAGGCGCCTGGGAAGCAGATGGGATGATGATTGGTTGGGAGGCGGGAGCTGAGCCAGATGCAGCCAATCAGCTGCATAAGGTTGTCTAACGGTTACTTTCCTCCTCATTTGTACCTGTTGTCCTGTGGGTCTTCATAGTCTCTATTTGGATTTTTATTTTTATTTTTTTCCCGGCAGCGGAACAGTATAATGAATAACTGCAGCCCAGATGGATATAGATGGATGGATGGAATATTTCCAACACAACAACTGTTCACAAAAGGAGCTTGCATATCTAGGACATAAATTTATAATTTCATTAGGTGTACAGCTTTCTGCTCTTATCGGCACCCACTTGAGGAGCTACAGTTAGCAAATACATTATAGCATTATTATATTTGTTTATACTTATAATTGCTAACTAAAGAGAATTTAGCTAATTGTTTTTGTCTTGTACCTTTGTGACATAATACCCACAACATACACTACTGTGTTGGTCTGAAACAGTTTTTCACTTAATAAATAAATGATGGCATCAACTCATGTCAGTACCTAAGGGCAAAAAAGGGCAAAAATGTGATGCTAATAAAGTGCACCTGAAATCCAAAAAATGAAGCTAACAACATATTAATGGTCTGCAAGGATCCTTTTCTCAAACTGTAAACCTTTCATCTGCTGAATCGATGGACTTCCCATGAGAATGATCTCCACATGAATGTTGGTTTGAGCAGATATAGACTAAAATTAAGTGTAATAATCTGACAGTGCAGTGAGATAATCACACTTGCTAAGATTTCTTGAAGTAAGAAAAAAATATATACATATTAGGCAAGTAAGAAATATCTTAAAATAAGTGGTGAAACACTCATTCCAAGCACTGTATGCAAGTCAAATAATCTCAAAATTAGCTTTTCAATTCTTATTTCACTTTTGTTTCTTACTCAAATTGAGTGGAAAAAAAACATAAATCCAGAACAATTTAACAAGACGATTCTTCTTAATTCAAGAGTTATGATTAGCTTTTATCTTAAATCAATACACAGTATTTACACTAAATTAAAATCATACACAGAGAATATTGCCAACATTTATTTGAATTGCTGCCAGAATACCTGGATTCCTTATAATGTTTACAATCATTATCACATAATGTTTGCAAAATTAAACATCCCCCCCCCACCAAAAAAAAAGTACCTCTGAAACATTCAGAGGTAACAGAGGCTATAACCTCATTATCTTTGATAACATTTAAAGTATGAAGCAGAACATGGCAGTCAAGGAAAAAACTACTTTGCATGAACAAAAATAGACAGCAAGTCTTCAGTATTTGTGTAAACCCCCCCCCCCCCAAGCCTGAAGAACTATGTCTTAATGAAAGCATTCCACTCTGCCATGGCTCTTTTGCATGAGCCTGTGGTGTCTCGCTCGTGGATACTGTACTGTAAGACTTCTGTCTGAATGAAAGGGAGAGGGGTCACCACATACTTAGGATAGGTGAGAGATGCAGGTTGTAGTAATAGCCCATCAGATACAGGAAACCTTCACCGAGTTCTTCTTTGGCAAATGTAGTGACAGGAGTGTTTCCAATTGCCAGAAGACAGCGGGACCCATCAAAGACCAAAACAGGGCTGAAGAGAGTTCTCCTCTGGAGGTAGATGGCTGGCTCTTCTGTTGGCTAAAGAAAAAAACAAAAAACAAGTTTTTTCAGAGTGTACGAAGAAACTGAAAAACTACTTGGGCAAGTGAACTGAGATTTTTGAACACCATTATGTACACCTACAGCTCTGGAAAAAATTAAGAGACTACTGCAAAATGACCTGTTTATAGGTATGCGTTTGAGTTAAATGAACATTTTTGTTTTATTCGATAAACTGCTGACAACATTTCTTTCAAATCTGAAGTTAAAATATCGCCATTTTGAGCATTTTTTGGCAGAAAATGACAACCGGTCAAAATGACAAAAAAAGATGCAGTGTTTTCAGACCTTGAATAATGCAAAGAAAACATGTTCATATTCATTTTTAAACAACACAACACTACTATTTTAACTGAAGAGTTTAGAAATCAATATTGGTGGGATAATCTCAATCTTTAATCACAGGCCGCATTTGGCTACACAGACCAGTTTCTGTGTTTTGGCTAGCATGTCGGCTCCGTCTCCGCGGCGGCGGGGATATTCGGAGATCCAGTTTGATATCCCGATTTCAGCACAGCGAACGAATAGTCGGCTATTCGGGCTCAGCCCTATTACCTAGCCTTTGTGTCCATCATTATTGGCAAAATTACAATTTTTCACTCACATGAACTGTCGCCATCAGAACTGATCCCAGATGGCAAAAGAACTGTTGATCCACCACTTAAGTCTGCATCATAATCTTCTCCCTGGTCACTTAGAGAAGTCAATGTGACGTCTTTTGGTTGAACTGCTTCTCTCTGGTCTGGGGTCCTGCCTCTTCTGTGGGGACTTCACATTCAGAATCCTCTTCTGAAGATAACTGTCCATGCTCATCTGTGGTGAAAAAAGTCACTTATTGAAAAAACATTTTGAATGTCAGAACTAATTTCAGATAAGTGTTCAAGAAAATTATGTGGCTAAAACTGTCATCACTTACATATTTGATGGGTTCATCTTTATCCTGTAGCACGGGATAATACTCCATTAGTCTCTTAGCCATGGCAGGGACCTCATGCTTTGAAGGGCACTGGAGCTCTTCTCCTTGGTGACTTGCTCTCAAGATTGAAATCATGCTGATGACAGTGTTCCTCACCAGCCTGCATCACAGCTCTTTGGACATGGCAGATTCCCCCTCTCTACCAGTGCAGGCCATCTCAAAGTAGTGCTTTCGAGCTAGTTCCAACTCAGTGTCTGTGTAGATCACATATTCTGGAGGACTAGGAAGCTGTAGGGTCTTCTTTGGGGTTTTCTTCACCACAGGAGTGGATGTGTGGGGGGATATTGGAGGTGATCCTTGAAGTGATGACACAGTTCCTGTTACACCAGGGCCAGCTTTGTCTGGTAAAGTGGCACTCAGAAAAAAAAATCAAAACACAATTATTACAAGGTAAATGACAGACACAATTACAAACAACATGTTACGGTTTAGGGAACTGGACTCAAAATGGAGTGAAAATATGTTGATTTGTGCCCTTATTTATGTTGTGCACTGTTGTACATGCAGTTGTCATGGTCCAGGTACTATGCATGGTTATATGCTCTGAAATGCATGTTGCACAGGAAAACATATTGAATATTGAATTCTGGAAAAAGTGGGTCGCGACTTTGTGATCATGGGAAAATGTGGGTCCCAAGGTGAGATCAGTGGAGAACTTTTTGAAGTTTTTGGATAAGTTGATTTTTAGAATAATCAGTTCGAACTGTTTGGCAACAGATTTGGAAGTTATAACAGAGCACTGCAAATTATCCTTACAGTAGATAGGAATTCCCCCGCCCTTGGAACCTCTATCCTGCCGGTAAATATTATAACAAGGAATGTAAACATCTGAGCTGGGCATAGCCAAGACTCTGAGATGACAAAGAGGTCAGGATTTGCAGTGTTGACATATGCAGTTAACTCAGCTAGTTTGGGGAGGAGACTGCATATATTTAAATGCATAAAACCGATACCTTTGCGAGTACAAAAACTATTAAAGGTTAATGACTGCATGGCAGGAGATTTAGATATGTTACTGACTGGGCCAGGATTGGGTTGAATATTCCCTGATATTAACAGCAAGAGAAAGATCAGACATTTCTGCTTATGTGATGCAGTGATATTCTCCTTTTTTGTGTCCATGATAGGAGTTATACAAGAAGAGCAATACAGCGGAAAGGAGAAATAGTCCAAGAGAACCATGATGCTAGCCATTTGAACCAGGGGAAAACAGTCAGTGAGAAACAGAAATGATATATATGTGGTTTGTAACTTATCATCCTGAGGAGAAACGGAGGTGCATTTGCCATGGTTTAGTTGAAATGGTGTTAACAGAGTTGCAGAGGAGGCTTGGTGATTATGGAGGGAGCTGCCAGTGTTAGAAACACAAAGCAGACTCCAAGCTGTGAGAAATAGGAGAATCCTCTGCTTGAGAACCATTTGGATATTGAAGAACGGGAAAAACCTGGTACTGCGGCTGCTCCAGATCCGAGGCATGCTGTGAACCAGTCCGCGTTTGGTCGCCATCGGGTCAGCTGGCGTGATCCGCGTCTTGCTGTGATCCAGTCTGCGTCTTGTAACCATCCGATTAGCTGGGATGTTGACGTTGCAATACGTCACATGTAAACAGGAAACCGAACAGCAGATATTCCGTGTTGTGTTCATCAATGTGAGGCAGAGATGTCAGGACAGCGCGCCACAACAGAGTTAAAAAAAAAAAAAAAAAAGTCCAAAAGTGCCCAGGGCAGCACAAAAGAGAAGAGACCGGTGGACGAGACCCAGCGCAAGACTGAGCCGCTCGATCCGTCCGGCGAGATCGCCGGATGCCAGCAACGCAACACTACATCGTGGGAGAGCCCCGACGCCAGTAAGTGGGATATTAGCGCATCGACTGGACCATCGGTCGGAAACAGCAATGGGAAAGTCCGGTAAACGATACCGATTTGAGACATATAGACAAACTGCTGAACAAGAGACCAGACGCACCAAGAGTCAGAGAGAGACTTGACAGAGACGTGCAGCCATCAAAATGATTCGCAATTGAGTGTTTGGACAGTCAGCTGCTTAGTAGGAGACCTTTTTTTTAATAAAATAAATAAATAAATGTATACACATAATTGCATCAGTAGCAGTATTGTGAAGGGTGCAGTGTGAAAAATATTCTGATAAACATAATTTATAGTTTTGGTCAGTGAAACTGATGTCCACAGGTATCCAGTGTTTGTACACATTTGTGAATCCCGCAGATCATGTCATGCACATGTTTATGCAGTTCTGCTTCTGTAGCTACAGTTAAGGCACATACCTGACTGTACATCATGTTGGTACCACAAATGAGATCAATCACTTTCAAACTGACAACACAGCACAGCTGATTGACTGATTCAATTTTCAGGATCTTACAACAGTTGTATTGAGAATATAGATTTTGTGTTTATGATACATTTTATTTAATATGTTGAAGCCAAAAAATAATTTTGAGTATATATGTATGCTTATTAAAATATGTAATTTCCCACAGTGAAAATGTGCATGAAACAGTGCTTTTTGAACAAACTCTGGAAGAAGTGTAAGAACGCTGACATTTCTATATCTGGATAATTCCATAGCCCTACTGTCAGAGCAGCAACAGCCCCATGTTTAGCCTCAATTTCAATATTTTTCTGAACTTACTGTTAGCTTTATTTGTTGTAATGCTGGTGCTATTAAGATGCAGCTAGTGTCAGTGTTAGCATCTTTCAGTAACAACAAGCAACAGGAGGGACATATTTTGATGTAATTTTAAATATGCAAATGCTCCACATTGTTCAAGGACAGTGACCACTTTGGTATGAAATCTTCAAATGAGTCTTAAGAATGGTTATGCTCGTTGTATTGGACAAACATCATATATCTTACACTTCATTCTTGACTGCATTTCAGAGGAGCATCAACAGCATTGTTTCTGAAGTCCAGCAGTATCAAACTACTCTTCTGAGCACCTTGAGGGACACAATGGAGAGGATCTTTGAAAGACGTTCAGACAGCGTGGAGCAGTTACAAGAGGAAGTACTGGCAACATTAGACAATTTTCAAGATCCTTTCTCCCTAATGGCTGCCACATACATGCAAGACAGCACCATCCCAGAGGCTTTTTAACCCAGTTAAACCAGAGGAGGTAGTTATGTCTCAGAGGGTTTGTCGAGTTAAGAAAGGACAGTCGAGAGTTCTAGGAATTAAAAACAGAAGTTTTTTACTATATATCCCTGGTTAAGAGTCTTGAACAGCTGTTGTCCAATTCTAGGATTTTTGATATGATCTACACCACACCACAGAGTTGCCACAAAGATGGTTTTTTATATGATATTGTTGATGGGAATTGGACTTAATTCAGATAGTTTAGATACTTTTTGTTCCTGTTTTATCTGTGCAGACTGTATTAAGACTGAGAAATATGATTGAACAGCATCTGAAACAGTTTAAGCAGCTTTTTCCGGAGAATAATATAATCCCTAAGCAACATTACCTGCTGCATCTCCCTGGCCAAATTCTTTCTCTGGGCCCTATGATAACACACATGTGCATGAGATTTGAGTCAAAGCACTGTTTTTTAAAACGGTGGTCATCTAAATTGAACTTCAAAAATGTCTGTAAGTCACTTGTGAAACATAATCAGCTTTTTGAATGCTGTCAAAATGAAATGGGTATGGAGCATCCCATTTTTTTGCATGAGAAAGAATTGGGTCCTGTCACAGAAGTAGCAAATATGGAGTATGTTAATACAAAGATGAGAAATTTTTGAGGGATTTATGGCATACAACACACAAAGTAAAGTGGCTTATTCTCAATGGGAACAGGTACAGAAGTGACAGGTCTCTAATAATCACCAATACAAATGAGACAGTGCCTGTCTTCGGATTTATAAAAAACATTTATGTGGTAGACAGTTCATTGTATTGTTTTGAGTACCAGCTTTATGAGACAGTGGATTAGAATAGAGATCTTTTAGCCTATGAAGTTGCAGTGCCTAATCTTGCTCAAGCAACAGAGTTGATCGATGCTGAAAAGCTAGTGGATCATACATCATATTATCCTGTCAGTTTCAAAACACCACGTATGTTCTGACAAAATATTTTCTTGGTGATGTTGCTGCACTTAAACATTGAAATGAATGTGAATAAACATGCTGTTGGTACAACTGTGGTTAGAGTGTGTGTGAATGCTTACTGGGAGGTCTTGAAACAAGTTTTCTAAGCAAAGATGTGGTCATGAAATATACCCTGAACAGTATCTGACATAATTCGGCTTACTTTCTGTGAAAAATATATAGTTTAAGGATCTACTTACTAACTAAGAAATAAAAAGACAAATATTCTCAAAACAAGAATAATAATCTTACACATTCTGTGATTGCATAGTATATTGCTCTCAAAACAAGATCAAAAAGACTTTTTGGCTAGATACAAGATTGGAAGACTTGTTTAGATTGTTAATTTTTGCAGTGTATCTGCTGTACGTTTCTCTCTGGATCACGCTCTGCTGCTCTCCCACACAGCTCACAGCTCTGCAGCCTACACACTGATCAGAGTTCAGAGGTGGATCTGCATTAGCAAACAGCACAGAAGTGACGGACCACCACTGACTTATTCAGTATCTGTGAGCATCAGAGGTCAGCTGAGGACGCTACAGTATACACACATACACACACTCGCAGGCATGATCTCAGAGAGCTGCAGGTTCGCCCAAAAAGCAGCACGTCATCCAGACTCTAGAAAATGACATTGAGTAGTATATTTTTACGAGAATGATGCATTCTGAAAGTGAAAGAAGCATGTGGTCTAAAAAAAACATGCAAAAAGTTTTGCACTTTAACTCTCAGGGATCTTTCTCGGCCACTTTCATTTTATCGCATCTCAAATGTTGGTAGCTGGCCTGCACGATACGTAGAAAATCTGCATCCATCACTGCAGGTCAGGATAACATGCAGACTAACAGAATGGATTGTCTTTTATTAAAACTTACAACCCTCACACTGTTAATTAGCTCCCATGATTGTAAATGCATCATATTTGGACTGACAGAGCTCATCAGGCATTCATTCTCCTTCAGCTTTGTTTTGGCAGCTGTTACTTTACTTACATTTTTTTGAATGTACTTCCCATTCGTAATTGTTTATCAGGTAAAAAGTCAAAAATGTAAACTTTAAAGGCTGCTCTAAATCATGATTCTTGCACTAATTCTTAGTCTTAGTCTCACTTGTAAATGATTGCAAGTGTTTCTACTGCTTTTTCTTCTTCAATGTGATTATATTGCTGACCTGATCTGACCTCACTGAACTTCATTTTTTTCTGCTATTTTTAACCAATTCTTGTCATTTCACTACTTCTGTCATTTTTCTGATTATATTGCTCAAAGGTAACATTTTTGCCTCTTTCCCAGCTCAGTAAACACAGAGTTAACAGGACCAGCTCACAGCCAGCTCTGTGATACTAAACCAGGTGATCAATAGGAGATGCTCAGTGTTGCAGCCTGCAGAGCACAGTGACCATAATGGGTCAACATGCTCTGCAGCATTCTAATTCTAAAAACAACTTTTCATTGCAGAAAGGCATTTTAAAGTGTATTTTTACACCACAGTCTTGTACCACATAAAAAAATTATGGGACTTTTGTCTATTCTAAAAAAAGATTTCATGTATTAAATTGTATTATAGTGCAAAAACAATCAACAGACTTTGAATTAACTTCAGTATATTAGTGTTGACAGCTGTCATGTGACCGAAGAAATCGATTGGTTTGTGTCAGGTAAATTTGTATAACAATGAATACTCATGTCTTAACCTCAACTTTTTAGGTATTTCAGAAGAATAACAACATTTTTGTTTGGAAAGCATTTTGGCTCAACATGTGTTGATTTAAATGTCAAAGTACTGCTTTAATCCACAAAGTAGGACTGAAATCATTATTAATTAATCTGCTTGTTATTTTTCAATTAACTGCTGAAAAATGTTGTCTATAACATAATGACAGTAAAGCTGTCAAATACTGTACTTGATTGAGAAGTGCTTTTGCTTTGAAATGTTGTGAAGCAAGATTGGATTAAAAACATGAAAATACTCGAGGACCATTCAAGCAAGATGCATGAGATGCTGCATTTTTAAGTTAAGAACTGATCATTACTGTAAAACCTCTGTTTTTAAACAGTTTCGTTTTATAAAGCAGTTTTTGAAATGAACTGACAAAGAAAAAGCACCAAATATCTCCTAATGATACCAAATATAGAAAAATATTCAAAGTTGTGGTAGTTTCATTTTCTATATGAACACATACATTCATGGCGCCCACACATGAACAGTCAACTGTGCACAGACGTCAATCTGTGCGCACACACAAACACACACAAAAACATACAGATATGTACACTTAAATTAGCTGCATGGATAATCCCAGCAAAACACGTGATATCTAAACACACCTACACATGCAGCAACATACTGTATAAATAATGGCATCACATTCGCCCCACACACTTTGTCCTCCCACTAATTGCTCCAACTAATTATACTTTCCTGAACTCTCTGCTGTTATAAATACATGCAGGAGAAGGGAGAGCAGCTCGGAGTTTCTGGGGACTGAAACTGATAATGATGACGATAATGTAATAACACAGAGGCTTCTGTGAGCATGTGATAATATTCAGTGTGCGAAGTCTGTAGTAGCAGGAGAGAAAGACTTCTGAAGAAGCATTCAGGGCTTCACTAAATAACACAACTCATTTCAAGCAACACTTCAATGTGAGATTTCAGAACATGATTGATCACTCTGTAGGACGGCTGTAAAATCCCAGCTACCCTTAAAAAAACACTTATAAATAAAATTCATATAGGAGCCAGATGTAAAGGGTTTTATACATCATTTATTAATGTTGTTCTGTTTATAGGATATCTAGAAGGTTTACATTTGTATGTACAATAGAAAGGTTCTTGTTTTAGCCTGTGGCCAAAAGTGTGTGCGGGACCCAAAACGAACCGAGAACAAGGTAAAGGGTAAATAGGTTTATTTCAGGGAAACCAAGGAGTGTGGGGGTCCAGGAGGCAGGTGAAGGGATCCGGGGTTGGTGCGCTGGTGTCGCGGTGGTGCAGGTGAGTGATATCTCGTGTGGGTGCTCGTGTGGCGATCTTGTGGCGCTCGTGCCAAGGGACAATCCAAACTCGTGATTCTGTGGACACACAAAAAGGACTGGCGTAGCGAGCTGGAGAAGCTGGACACTGGAGCCGGTGGAGGAGACGCTGGTGAAACACAAGAGAATACAGTTACTCATAAACTCGAGATGACTTAGCAGGACGCACATCCATCCATCCATTATCTATACACCACTTAATCCTCACTAGGGTCGTGGGGGGCTGGAGTCTATCCCAGCTGACTTAGGGCGAAGGCAGAGGACACCCTGGACAGGTCACCAGTCCATCGCAGGGCTACACTTAGAGACAGACAACCAAGCACACTCACATTCACACCTACGGACAATTTAGAATCACCAGTTAACCTCAACATGTTTTTGGACTGTGTGGGAGGAAGCCGGAGAACCCGGAGAGAACCCACGCTGCACAGGGAGAACATGCAAACTCCACGCAGAAAGATTCCAGTGCCCCCACCGGGACGCGAACCGGCAACCTTCTTGCTGCGAGGCAACAGTGCTACCAACTGCGCCACCTTGCAGCCCAGCAGGACGCACATGTACTTGCTAAACGGCCGAATGTACCACTCGTGGAGTTGACAATCATCTGACACTGGAGCACAGGTGGAACGGTGGCTTGACCCAGCGCGTAATGATGAGATGAGCTGCAGCTGTGCACGCGCAGAGCGTCCTCCTCCGAGCAGCCCCGCCCAGCCTGAAAAACTCAGAGCACAACTCCAGCCGCAACACAAAACAACCGCCAGCCATATAGAAAAAATACACTAAACACAACACAATCACCACAGTTCTCTATGATGACTTATCGTAGTTGTCACTGATGAAAACGTCTGATTGAATAAAGGAGTTTTTGTTTTAGTGCATGCTGCATGAGGGAACTACTTCTTGGGAAATGTAAGATGCTTCATAAAATTATAGCGACTTGCTGGAGCTTAGATTAGCACAGAAACTGAAAACCGCAAAACTTGAAGAGTTCATTTGCAAAAACAAATTACTCAATTTTTGTAGATTTTCAGAAAACTCTTTTTTGTTTGTTTTTTGCTTGAGATAATATCAATCAAAGTGAAGTGGAGGGGATTTGACTCAGTAGAAATGACATGAAAAAAACAGAGATAACTTAAATTGAATTTGTCTCAAACAGACAATGGAAAAATGGGTTTTCTGAAGGTTTGTGAAGATGGAGTTATCTGTTTTTGCAAATGAACTCTTCACTTGGACCTCATACTACTTCTATTAGCACATAAGAACCAGCTTTTATGGTGAATTCTACCTTGTTGATGGTGATGTTTGAGAAGCGACGACAAAGATATTGAAAAGGCAGAGAAATGGCACCATGTTAGCCACATAAGCTCCCGTTTCATGTTGAAACAGCAAACCAAACCACAAATAAGACACTTGTTGCTCGTTTACATCTTGCCTCCATGAGTCCAGCTGTCTGCTGACCCAGAGGACACGTCGCAGATTAGCTGTGAAGCTGCTGCTCTGTAGAACTGCCTGACTTTCTCTCTGTCAGTGTTTCAAGTTAGAAACATTTCAACGTCAGTGAAACAGCATCATGTTCTGGGCTGTGTGTTTTATATTTTATTGATATTCTCTTTCCAATCAGCTTCTACAGCGAGAGTAGGAGGAGGGAGTCACGGCAGAACAGAGAGAGAGAGGAGGAGGAGGAGGAGGAAGAAGCTTATGAAAAGAAAAATCCAAAGATAGCGAATGGGAACGCAAAATTACGACGAGGTGAGCAGCTGTGACAACGCTCTTTCAGCAAATCAGTATTATTTTGGATCATTCATTTATTATTTACACTTTTTTTATTTATTTATTTTTTCATTATTTTTGAAGAGCAGTTTTATTGCGGCCAGTTCTTTGGAATAAACTTTTCCATCTTTCCATGTGTCTTTAAAAGATAATATACAAACACGTGCCTTACTATGATATTTTTTAAACAGAATGTAGATACTGGGCTATTTTAATGGTGTTCATCGACATGGCATTACTTCTGATTAAGTTAC